GTTTTTTCTAAAAAGTGGTCTCAATGTCGGGTGACCTGCCCGATTTAGGATATTTTAGAAGAACTCCACACTTTTCTAAAAGTGGTCTCGTTAAAAGAAATCATCTTACCTTAAGGAACAAGGAAGTGTTAGTTTACAATTCCCCTTCGCAGTTACATTGACCTGAGATTTTGTATCTCAGCGGTTCCTAACAACTTAGAACTATTTTGGCTCTCGCCACACCTTTCCTACCAGGTTAATGTTATGACAATATAGTATGCATGCTTTTATTATCTATTTTGGAAACATAGGTCCCCCTTTCCACTGTAGCCTTCTTTGAGCTCTTGTTTCCATTTATTTTCCTCTCTTATCCTTTTGAACCAGAATATGCTCCACGTGCTATATTTCCTTTTCATGCTTGATGAAAAGATCTCCAGTTCCTTATAGGGCCCTTTCTTGCTCCATTGGATATTGCTTTTTGTTTTTTTGTTTTTTTTTCTGATGTTTTAATTGCGTTTTTTATTTTCAAGAAATTATTTTAAAAGGAAAACCCAAAAAATCTAGTTTTGTCCATGAAAACTGAAACTTCCAATGCAATCGTTATTATATTTTAAGAAAAATTTCTTTCCCCCCGTGTGGTGTGCAATATAGGTCAGGTTTGACTTTTGGGTTAGTTCTCTCCAAATTAGGCATTGGTTGAGCATATTATGATTCTTTAGTCATATGTGAAATCGGTTCTTTTAAGTAAAATGATTCAAATGTCATGAGATCACGCGTTTTATACAACAACGTTTTTTTTTATAGAAAGAATTAATGGCCAAACTTTATTTTATTGACTGGGAAACCATGGAATACATTAAGCATAATATTTTTTTATAGAGTCAGAATTCACAAGTCTAGCTAAATCTTCTCCATCCATTCTAGATAACAATAGAGCTCCTCCTGAGAAAGCTTTCTTCACCACGTAAAGGCCATCATAGTTGGGTGCCCATTTACTCTGATCTTCTCCTGGTAAAGGCAATATTTTCTTCAGTACAAGGTCTCCTTCTTGGAATCCTCGAGGTCGAACCCTTTTGTTATATGATTTGGCCATCCTTCTTTGGTAGAGTTGATGGTGACAAATTGCAGCTATTCTCTTCTCACTTATCAGATTCAGTTGTTCGTATCTAACTTTCACCCATTCTGCCTCTTCTAGCTCAGAGTCGATCAGTACTCTCAATGATGGGATATCTCTACTTCTAAAGGCATCATTGCCTCCATTCCATATACCAAAGTGTACGGGGTAGCTCCTGTGGAAGTTCGAACTATGGTGCGGTATGCATGAAGGGAAAATGGCAACATCTTGTGCCAATCCTTGTAGGTGACTACCATCTTCTGAATAATCCTCTTGACATTCTTATTGGCAGCTTCTACTGCGCCATTCATCTTTGGCCTATATGGTGAGGAATTGGAGTGCTTGATTTTCCATTTAGCACAGAGTTCTATTATCATCTTTCCATTAAAGTTCTGGGCATTATCGATTATAATCTTTTCTGGTGGGCCATATCGACAGATCAAATCTCTTTCAATAAATTTCTTCACCACCTTTTGTGTTATATGAGCAAATGATCCAGCTTCTACCCATTTCGTAAAGTAGTCGATGTCTATGAGAATAAACCTATGACCATTGCTGGCTTTTGGGTTGATAGGCCCAATCACATCAATTCCCCACATTGCAAAAGGCCATGGAGATGTTAGGTTAAACAAGGGAGCTGGAGGGGCGTTGATTTTGTCACCGTACACTTGGCACTTATGGCATTTTCAGACATAGTCAATGCAATCCTTTTCTAATGTCATCCAAAAGTAACCGCCCCTTTGTATTTTCCTAGCCATAATGTGTCCATTAGCGTGTGTTGAGCAAATCCCTTCATGGACTTCTTGTAATGCCTTTCTTGCCTCGACCTCATCCAAACACCTCAACAAAGTCCCATCAGATGATTTCTTGTACAAAATATCCAAACACCTCAACAAAGTCCTGACACGACTAAAAGATTGATGTAGAAGTCCATTGCTAACCTCCTCAAGGTCTTCTTATCAATTTTGGATGCCCTCATGGGGTATGCCTGGTTTCGGATAAAATTTCTTATATCATAGTACCAAGGGTTTCCATCTATCTCTCCTTCGATTGAGCAGCAATGCGCTGGGTTATTTTGGATATCAATATGGACTGGTTGTACGTTGCATCCAAAATCTATTCTAGCCATAGCAGCTAGTGTGGCTAAGGCATCAGCAAACTGATTTACTTCTCTTCCTAGATGGGTAAACTCTATTTCCTCAAATTCTCCAGCCAGTTTAGCCAGGTATTCTTGGTAAGGTCTCAACTTCTTTTCCTTGGTTTGCCATTCTCCTTTCACTTGGCAAATAATCAACATTGAGTCTCCATACACATCTATCTTTCTGATATTTAGCTCCAATGCAGCTTCTAACCCGATGATGCAAGCCTCGTACTCAGCCATATTGTTAGTACACCCGAACTGTAACTTGACTAAAACTGGATACTGTTTGTTATTAGGGGAGATTATTGCTGCACCTGCTCCATTACCACATACATTTACAGCACCATCAAAGTACATAGTCCATACATCTAATTTCCTTTCCTCGACTGAAAGCACATCTTCGTCAGGAAAGTCAAAGTTCAATGGCTCATAATCTTCCATAGCATTGTCAGCCAGGTGATCGGCAACATACTCAGCCATGTTGTTAGTGCACCCAAACTATAACTTGACTGAAACCGGATACTGTTTGTTATTAGGGGAGATTATCACTACACCTGCTCCATTACCACATACATTTACAGCACCATCAAAGTACATAGTCCATACGTCTGATTTCCTTTCCTCGACTGAAAGCACATCTTCGTCAGGAAAGTCAAAGTTCAATGGCTCATAATCTTCCATAGCATTGTCAGCCAGGTGATCGGCAATGGCACTCCCTTTTACAGCTTTCCTTGTCATATATAATATGTCATATTCAGCCAACAGAACTTGCCATCTTGCAATTCGGCTTGATAGATAGGGCTTTTCACATATGTACCGCAACAGATCTAATTTTGAAATTAACCATGTGGTGTGATACAACATATACTGGCGTAACCTTTTTGTAGCCCATATGAGTCCGCAACATAGTTTCTCAATTACAGTATACCTAGCCTCGCATTCTGTAAACTTCTTGCTTAGGTAATAAATGACCTTTTCTTTTCTTCTGGTCTCGTCATGTTGGCCAAGTACACATCCCATCGCTATTTCAGTTACTATTAAGTACAATATCAACAGCCTTTCTGGTATAGGAGGAACAAGCAGGGGTGGATTTAGCAGGTACTGCTTGATTTTCTTGAAAGCCTCTTCGCACTCTTTATTCCAAATTCCAGGATTCTTCTTCCTTAACAAACGAAAGATTGGATCGCAAGTCGTGGTTAATTGGGATATAAATCGAGCAATGTAATTTAACCTTCCTAAGAATCCTCTTACATCCTTCTCAGTCTTAGGAGCTGGCATACATTGAATAGCCTTTACTTTGTCAGGATCCACTTCTATCCCTTTATCACTCACCACAAATCCCAACAACTTCCCAGATTTTACACCAAACGAACACTTTGCTATATTTTCTTAGTCTTTCAAATAATTTCTTCAATATTTGGACATGATTCTCTCCTTCTCTAGATTTAGCAATCATATCATCCACGTAT